ATTGCGGAAGAGATGTTTTCAACTATAACATGACAGATTTATATGGTTTGCAGAATTTTAAAACAGTAAAATTTCTTATATCATTGCAACAGTTGAGGCAGCTAAAAGTACACATGTATAAACTGGTCTATTCAGGAGCCCAAACGATAAGTTCTATGAAAATGAGGCATACCTCTACTCTTGACAAAACAGCATTTAAAATCCACCTTGGTGTTGCATTAAGATGAAGAATGGTACATCTATCAATTCCAAAGAAAATTAAAAGAAAGGAGTCACAAACCTCGATGGGTTCGACATCATGAGCAATGGCAACAAGCTGAGCTTTCTGGACTCGATCAAACGGGTGACAGTGTTGACACGGACATGATGCGAGCTTCACGCTTAGTGGGAACCTCTTCACGTCCCTTGACGCGATCCTCGGCACGGGCCCTGAGCCTGGCCTTCTTCTCCTGCTTGGTCTCGGGGCGGTACTTGTGCATCAGACGAAACAGCTGTGTAGCTGGAATGCATAGGTTAAAAGGGAATCACAAATTATAGCAACATAATGTTTCAAATAAAAATTTGGACGATTTGGTACTTCCATCAAGTCTCAGAGGGGGTTATGTTTGTAATCACTTTCTCATATAGCAATACTCAAAAGCATCATTGACTTGATTAAGTATGGAAAACTTTATGAAGACTAGGGCGGGTTCACAAATCCTAAGGCGAACTTTAAGTCTAAAACATTATGGAGAGCCATTGTAGCCTGAAAATCTGTAATTGTGAAACACCCCCCTGAGGGTATTTGAAAATATCACATCAAGTTACATTTAAGTACTACTCTTTCACTTTGTACCTTTTTCTCGTTTCCGAATGTTAATGAATGATGAAATTATAGTTATGTCATTTGGCTCTGAAAACACCTAAAAAAAGATTGCCAAATAGAAACATCTACATGTACTTCAATTCTCTAAACCCTATGGCTGCCATCTGAATTTACCATCACCCATAGTGCCAATCAGTCCCTTCGAAAATAAGCGCAGAAAATGAGAAATCCATGATAAACAAGGTGCATGAATTCTAGATCCATCCAAAACACAGATTAACAAATAAGATCTTCATCAATTAAAATCGATATTAAAACAGGATTGAAGATGATATTTTACCCGTTTCTCTATCAACACCGAGTCAAAAATAAGATCTTCATGAATTAGAATCGATTGAAAAGGATATTTTACCTGTTTGTCTATCGAGAGCCTGGCTGAACTGGTTGATGGAAGGAGGAACCTTCAGACGCTGGTAAAGGACAGCCTTCTGGCGCTGGAGGCGTACATACTTGGGCCAGAGGACAAAGCGGGACAGGTCCCTCTTTGGCTGGACCTCATTGCCTGGGAGATTATGAATCAGAGAAAAAATATAATATGAACATTACAAATTTATAGACAGCACAAAATTATGGCTGTTTATGGGGCAAGTCCAAGGTAGTTTGTCCTGTATGTATGTGTGTATCAGGTTGATGGTTTACTGCAGCTTGCATGTGACATAAAATGGCAAATGTAGTGGACTTGTCTTTGCATAGCTTGATTTCTTTCAATCAAGACACACAGAAATGTTTCAAAGTGCCGTGCACACAACTCTGCAACTTTATCCAATATTAATTAAGATTGAAAATGGCACACTGAGCAAAACTTTTTCTTAAACACTCCACTGTTTTCTTTATATACTTTCCACCACTGAATAATGAAATGAACCTTTCATGCTCTACTCAGTTTTAAAAAGGTTGGCTTTTCTCTTCATGATTTGTCTCAGGTGAAGAAATTCTGTTGATACATCATAGTAGAGCGATAACACAAGACCACAGTCATAAGAAAGCTTTTTCAAGTTCAGTTAAAAGTATAAGAAAAGGTGAATTTAATATGATGCTAAACTAATACAAATTGGAGCTGCTAAGTTTCTTGAACATCAAATCATATCACAGCCT